GAAAGTGCCTTAGAGGAAGAGGTTTGAGCAACCTGAGAGCTGGCACATGACATCACCGCTAGGAGGCCTCACAGCGAAGATTTTTTCTGACCCCTTCAGAGATTCTTGTTCCTTCCAAGCCCCTTCTCTTCTGTCTGAGATCCCTTCTCTGGCACTTTTAGCACCCTTGGCTGAGGTAGGAGTTTCCATGGAAACTGCCACCGCCTCCCCACTCCTAGAGCCACTCCCCTTTATGGGCAGAGAAACAGACTTGGAAGAGCCCGCCCCCACCTTGGTAGGACAGGGCAGGGCAGCGTTGGGGTATACACCTGCACCACATTCTATGCCCAGCTCTCCCACAGTATAGGGGGAGAGCAGTGCTGGCTGGGTAAGATGTGTTTGTTAAGGCTTTGGTGGTCTGGAAGAGGGGAGCCCCAGTCAGGTTCCTCTCCACCACGCTTGCAGAGGAAGCCAGAAATTATGTGTATGCATGCCAAGCCCTGAGCACCCGGGGCTTCAGCAGAAAGGGCACCAATTTTATCCCCTTGCTGCTCGAGTGGGTTAGGGTCTTCCCAATTTTGAACTCTCCCGCATCACCTGACAGCAAATGACCCCTTTAAACACTCTAGAAGAGCTAGCTTAAGCCAGTAAGGTAGAGGCTGTGTGGAGAAGCTTTCCTGGTGCACGGCCTGGGTAGGGGTCCTCTTTGCATCATCCTCGACTTCTCCTGGGAATTCCGAGTTCGAAAAGGTGATTTGACCATCATTTTCCATACAAACATAATGTATCTTTATTACAATTTGTAAAATAAAAACAAAAACATGAATTTCAAGTTAGTTTAACAAATATCTTCCCTATCTCCTGCCCCAACAAAACCCAACCAAGCCAGCAGGACAGGTTATATTAATGCAGGGAGCTGGGGCGGGAGTGAAGGATGGTGTTAGATAAAAGTGGGGTACAGATCAAGGGGGCCTGGAGGACTCATTAACTGGCAGTCCCCACCAGGCCTGGGCGTGGGGCTGTGTAGCCAATCTCAGCAGCCTTCCTCTGCAGTTTTAAGGGGGCCCTGGAGGGGGTGGAAGCTTTTACTAATCTCATGTTCCATTTCTCTTCTTCTCCCCACCGCCCCCCCCCCGCCCCGGAAGTTTGGGTCTTAACTGAGGCCCAGTTTTATCATAGTAAAGAAAGATGAGGGCTGAGGACTAGAGATCTGGAGGGTGCATCCCCCCCACCCAGACTTAGGCCTCCGTGCTAGGGTAACCCCTATAGTGCCCCCTATAGGAAGGAGAGAAACTAGATGGCTGGGCCGTCACACCAGAGACCCGGCCTGACTCTGGGTGGGCACCATTATCGGGACAGCACCCATGCGGCTCAGAGTGGAGGAAGGGACCCCACCAGGGACAGGAGCTATTGGCTCGGGAGGGGCTCTATCTGTCCTGAGATGCTTTGGTGAGGGCCCCGCCTGACTGGAGAGGCTGGGTGTGGGGGTCAATGCACCAGGCCTGGGAGGGCCATGGGGTGGCCTGAGGGCTCGTGCGGAGGTGACAGAGGAAAGGGTCCCATTCTTGGAGATCGTGTCTGAGCCCTTGGCCCAAGGCAGGGTCCGGGGAGCGATGGCATCCTCCCTAGTTATCAAAGAAGTAATGACGTCAGAAACTGGAAGCGAGAAAGTTTCTACGTGCATTCTCTTGTTCTCCCCTCCTCCCACTTCAACTCTCCTCTCTCTTAAAATCTCTTCTCTCTTCAAAGGAATGATGTTTCAGCCACTGCCCACCCTTTCATTAGATGAGAGCTGCCTGAATTCCCAGCTTCTGTAAGGGGAGAGCCGCATCTGGCCAGAGACCAGGGACGCTTACTTGATATCGTTGGCCTGCTCCTCCAGGGCCTTGCTCCGGCGTTCATACAAGAGGACCATTCCAGCCAGCACCCCTAATCCAATCAGGGTGCCCACAACAGCTCCTGCAACCACCGCAGCCCCGGGCCCTGGAAAAACCTTGGCGTCAGAGGGAAACACCCAGCTAGCTGTTCCCTACCCCTCTCCAATCCCGCTACCCCACTGCCACCATACCCATTTTCTCTTTTTCTCTATTCAGAAGAGGTGGCCATCAAGCAGAAAATGGTCACTGAACAAACATTTGTACAGACATTTGACCAGGACAAGTTCCTTGCCCTGTTACAATGAGAGGCCTCCCCGCTCTCTCGCAACTCCGCCCCCACCACTGACCAACCTTCTCCTTAACCACACTTACCCCTAACTGACCTGTGCTCACTTCCAGGGTCATGTTGCACTGGGCACTGCCCACCTCATTGTGGGCCTTGCATATATAGACTCCAGACATGGAAGTAGAAAGGTTTTTGAGGCTTAAAGATCCGCGGATGGCATCTGTGGACACAATTGAGCTGTCAGGTAAAGGATCCTCTTTCCCATGAAGAAAAACAACAACGACAAAAAACCTCTAGAGTGTCCTCTTTGACTCTCAGGGAGACTCAGCTGTCTGTTCACTATTTCCACTGCTCAGTGTCCCCAACTATTTCTGAAAGGAGGCTAAAGAATAAGTGGCGCCCAGAAAAACCAAATTATGATTTTTTACTTTTCTTTCTGAAAGGCAGAGTGGTGTGAGAGAAAGAACATTAGGCTAGGAATGAGAAAACCTGGGTTCCAGAACAGGCCATGTGACTTTAAGCAAGTTACTTGCTATCCCAGGGTCCCAATTTCTTCATCTGTAAAATGGGGTAATATGACCTGCTGGATGGTGTTGGAAGGATTATATGAAATAACCATTATAACAGTTCAAGTTTATTGGCTGCTTATTGTACACCAAAAACTAAGTTCTTTACATGTACTAACTGATGAAAATTTCACAACAAACCTACGAGGTAAGCACTACATTAAAAAAAATTAATAAAAACTTTTATTATAAAAATGGTCAAATGAAAAGTAGAAGAGGAACAAAACAAAAACTCACCTAGATTCAACAATTGCTAACATTTTGCTATACTTATTTCATTTCCCTTTCTCCTTTTTTTCTGAAACATTTTAAAATAAATACTTCAGCATGGATCTCCAAAAAATAAAGACACTGCCCCACATAACCACAATACCATCGTCATACCTGATAGATTAAAAATTCTCTAAAAGCACCTAATCCTTCAAGCTAAAAATGTTCCATCAGTTATATCTCATTAAAATTAAAAAACAAAAAGTTCCAACTGCTCGCAAATGACTTTTATAGCTGGTGGTTCAAATCAGGGCTATTGATATCTTCGTTTTATAAATGAGGAAATAGAGGTACCAAGTTGCACAGCTAGTGAGCAGCAGAGCTGGAATGTGAATGCAGATTGTCTAGCTCCAGAGCCCCCTTAGTAACATAGTTGCACAGCATGTGAAAGCACCCAGCACATGCCTGTACCTGGCAGGCCCTTTCTCCACGCCCCACCCCACACACCCTCCTCCCCGTCCCCAGTCCCCAGCACTCTCCCGGCACTGCCTTCCCTTTCCCCGCAGGCCCTCTGGTACCTCTCGTCTTCCCCCTACCCCAGCCACAGTCTCGGTGGTCTCCAGAAGTCTCTCACCTAAAACCGGTGCAAAGAAAACCTGGGAAGACGGAGGTGACCGCTCCCACTGGTATTGGGCAGCGGGCTTACTCCTTGGGGACATGCAGTTCAGGGTCACATTGGTCCCCACACGGGGCACGCCCAGGAGGTGGCAGGATGGAGGAGCTGGAGGAACTGGGGGAGGGGAGACAGGTTAAAAACTCACACCCACCAGGCCAACGGACACTCCCCCAAACTCCCACACACATACCCTTCTGTCACTCTGTTTGCCCCTCCTCCAACCTTTACACCCAGCCATTTGGGACAGGGACTTGCCTGACCTGACCTCCCATGGAGGTGGAGAGGTATTAGAAAGTGTGTGCTTCTCACTTACCCAGCACATTGAGTTCTAAGGTTTTGCTGCTGTGGCCCTTGTTTATGCCTTGACTGTCTTGCACATTCACAGAACAGCGATAGTACCCGGAGTCTTTCTCCTGGAGGCCCTGCAGCCGCAGGGACACATTCCGGGAGGGCATGGTGTGGACCAGGGATACTCCAGGCTGGGTTGACAGGACCCCACTGATGTACGCCAACACCTGGTGTGGGCATAATGCCTCCTTGTTATTACAGGCACGCACTGTGCCCCAGCCTCAGCCAGTCCCTCTCCCCCAAACTGACGATCCTCAAATGCCCCTCCCCTACACCCATCCCTCTAACCTGTACCAGCTCCCCATTCACCCCTGTCTCCCAAGCCACCCTTTCACTACCCCCATACCCCAGGTCCTCTTCACCAGAATGATTCTTGATCCCCTATACATTGTCTCTTCATCTCCCACTTGGAGTGTTTAGAAAGGTGGCATAATGGGTGAGGAATAATATAAATAGAAATTATCTATAAAAGAATCTTAGATTGCAGGGGCTGATCCAAAATTTAAAAAAATCTTTTGTCTTCTTTTTCTTAATGTCCCCTCCCCCATCCAGCCAAATATATGTTCTGAATCTACTCTAGCAATCTAAGTTTCTTGCATACATACCCCTTATTTATCAAATGACCTCTTGAACACACTTTCTCAAGCTTTGGGGGGAGCCATGCAAGTAAGGAGCTCTGAAAATGAAGTGTCCTTGGCGTGTGGGTGAATTTGCCTCTGGCTTTGAGTGTGATGACAGGGAGGAGGATAGGTGGGAGGTTATGCCCCTTGCCTCTCAAGGTAGTCATAAGGGGCAGTGAGACAGATAATCATTTGGAAGAGAAGTGGCCTGTGATAGCGGTCAAAGCAGAGAATGTGAAAACAGGAAGATGACCAACTTTTGAAAGTTGTATACTGGCCCTAACCCTTCCCACCTCCACCCCCAATTCTTACTGACTCCCATAGCAAAGTAAAATGCCTCTACTTTTCAGTGTTTTGTGTGCTGGATTTCTAGGGAAAGTTGGAGAAGGGAATTCTTTTGGGACGCGTCTAATAAAATTGAACTGGTGAGTAGGACCTTGCTTTTGCTGAAACTTCTTCCTGTCCCCCATTTCCTTGCCAACCAGTCCCCATGTTGCCAGCTGTTCCCTCTGCCCCCACTGGGCGCAGCTAGCCTGGGCTGAGATGCTTTCCTCCCTCACCTGGTTCAGGTCCTTCCCCTCCTGTTCCAAGAACCACATCACGGTGAGCATCTCCCGCGGCTTGCCTGAAGACACCTCCCCTCGAAAGGAGTACCATGCGGGGAGCACCACTTCCGCTCCCTCCACTACCTGCAGCCTGGTGAGGCCCGGGGGCACATGCAGCTCGAGCTGGGCGCGCGCAGCGGGCGCTGGGGACGAGAGCGAAGCGGTGTGAGCGCTGACCTGCCCATCCCGGTGGAAGAGAGGGTCAGGAAATCCCGCCAACGGGAAGGACAACCTGCTCGCGGTTCGGCTCCTGGAAGTTCGAAGACCTCCCGGGGACCCTAACCTAGTGCCCGCTTTCAACGTCATCAATGCTTATTCTCCGCAACCTCAGCCTTTGTTTGAGTTTGTAGCGGGCAGAAGAACACGTTTCTGTGCTTTTTTTTTTTTTTTTTTTTTTAATATATATATCCAGGAACGCAGACTTCAGAGCACCAAAAAGAGGGAGCAGCTTTCGAGCGAGAAGGGGCATACAAACAAGAGATATGGCAGGGCTAATACTTTTGATCTACACTCTAGATCTGTAGTCTCCTTGCTTTCCCAGTTTCCCTAGGCGGGGAGCCAGGATGGAGGGAGTGACGAGGTTGGTCAAGATAGGAGTGTTCCTCGCTCCTTCGTTCTCGATCAGAGGGGCGAGGGGGTGGGAGGCTTCCTGTTACCGAGTAACCCGCCGCTCCTTCTGAACTGCCAGGAGCAGAGACTGGAGCGGTCCGGTGACTGCTGTGCTTCCTCCGACCCCCGCTCAGCCCCGACAAATGCGCGCCCCAGGAAAGAGGGGAGTTGGGACCCAGAAAGTTTCTACGCGCCCATGTGGGGTCTAGGGGATCTGGGCGGGTCTTTTGAGGTCGCAGGGAATCTTGGCCGAGCTGGGACTGGAATGATGGCTCCCAACAATCAAGTACAAAGTTGGGTCTGTGCGGGTCCAGGAGACAGACTGGGGTGTTGGTTTCAAGGAGGGGACTACGGAATCAATGCTTGCACCGTGGCGTTCAGAAACACTCACTTTTTGCCCTTCAGAGAGGCAGTGGGCGGCCGAGTTCTAAGCCATTTAACGGAATAACCTCGGGCTTGTACCCGGGCGGTCCTGAAGATGCTGGCTGCCCTAGGCTTCAGCCTCGCTCTTCTTGGGCCTCGGCGCTCTGCAACGCCACCTTGGAGTGGTGACCGGGCGGCCAACGCACGGAGAGAGGCCACGGACCCCGTCAGGCTCTCCGCCCTCCTGGAGCTGAGCTGAAGGCCTCTGAGGCCCGGAGCAAACCCAGCCAGGATGCACGCCCCGCCAACCGCTTCCCGCTGCGCGTCTTTACTGAACCCCTACCCCTATTCCTTGGCCTTTGCAGCACCCCCCTTCCCATTTCCTGGCAGGTCTCTGCGGACGGGGCAGGAAACTTGTGCCCTGCGATAAGCTAGAAGACAATGACAGGGGATGGGGGCGCTAGGCCGGAGGCTCCACAGACGGAAATAACCTCCGCCTCAAGGAGCTCGAAGCCCCAGAGGATCCCCGCTTTAATGGCGGAGGCCTGGACGACGGGAGGCCCGCGGGCGGGGCAGCTTCTCCCGGATTTTCTGCTGCGCTGCCGGCGGCCAGGCATTTCCTACGGGAAGCCCGCAGAACCGCCCTTAGCGACCTTCCCCAGGTCCCCACGTATAATTTTACTTTGCAAAACGTGAGTGGGGGCGGTAGTTAAGATAGTAATGGACACACTTCTGGGCAAATGCTCCCTGTCCTACCCCCAGTCAGAAATCAGGAGCTGAAGAGGCCCGAGGCTTCCATCTTCTGTCCTGGGTGTCCGCTGGAGCAGAGGCCCCCAGCTCTTGGTCCCTTTTCGCTCCCAGGTTTCATGGTGCCATAGGGGTAGAAGGGGGTGGCTGGGTCTGGGCGAAGGAGCCTTGAGCGGCCCAAGAAAGGGACCCTCTGGCCCACTCCCCAGAGTGAAGAAGCAGGCAGGGGTTGAAGAAGAACGAAAATGGGCCTGCTCCCCAGGGCTACTATTTTTAGTCTCCTTCTTTCTCTGAGAAACTCCCCCCGCGGGCTTCTCACGCCCCAGGGGCAGCAGCGCTGGGCCACGGAGGAGTTCGGAACACAAGGGCCTCGCTGAGAGTCCTGGCGGGCAGAGCCAGTGCCGGTCTCAGCGCTGTGGTCCCCAGCGCCATTTAACCCTCGAGGTGCCGGGGGAGCTCAGCGATCCCCCTTGAGCCTGGGCCGTCACTATAAAAAGTGAGGCTCAGAGTTAGGAAAAAGGAGGGGTTACGGGAGAGCTTCAGAGGATTCCCAGGCAGCCAACTTGCATTTTAGTCCCTTGCTTCATAGACCTCCAGCAGGAAGGGGGATGGGGCAGTTGGGGGCAGAAGAAGAAAGGAAAGAGGCACTGAGGTTGAAGAGGGGGGAGGGCTGATAAGCTGAGGGATCCTGGAACAGACTCACCAAGTCTATAGGGGCAGGAAGCTGTCCAGGCTTTGTTGCGGCGGGCGAGGTGCTCTTGAGCCCCACTTTGTATGGGGACCCTAATACTTTATGCCTCAACACCCTTGCAGCTCAGACCAGGCTAAATCCGACACAGAGTTAGGCGTTCCCTATCTCTGTCCCCATCACCGTGGCTGAATTTCATTCTACATTTTTCCAAGCCTTACTTGCCCTGGCGACTTACAAGCTGAGAAAAATGAATTCAAGCTGACCTTGCCTAACTCACCCTTCACTGCCACCTGTGATCCTTGAAGAGGGATGGCAAGAAAGCCCTGGAGGTAGCAATGGAACAGGCTTAGTTCTCGCTGGGTTCTTTTCTCCTCTAACATCACATTGGGCCACCTACAGCTCCTGGGGGCTCCTGGAAGCCCTCAACACTCCTCAAGCACTTGCTCCAAGGAGGCACCCTTCCTCTCTGACTCTTTGAGGCCTTCCTCTCTATTTCCTTTGTCCCTTTGGCTCTGGAAACCAACGAGGGTGATGGACCTCTGGGTGGGGGGGTGTCTCAATTCTGCTCTTCTAGGCATTCAAACCCCTCCCCCATTTCCTGTATCCCAAATGACCTCACGGTTGCGCTTTCGGGGCACCTCCCTTGATTCCCAGGGCAGGAAGCAGGAGGAGGGGGCGAGAGGCAGGATCTGCGCTGGGGAATTGACATGAAGTGCGGGTGTCAGGCAGGGCCCAGGAATTCCCCAAGGGCTCTTGTGCATCAGCTTGTTGGGTGGGGGTGAGAGAGGAGAAGTTAAGTCCTTAAGCTCTTTAGCCAGTGTCTCATCTAGCAGCTCAGCTCATCTGGCTCTGCTGGGTGGAGGTAGGGAGTGCGGATGAGGAATGGTTCCACTAACTCACCCCAAAAGTCTACCCGGTGGATGCCCTAACCCTCACCGCCACTACATACACCCACATCCGAAGTGGGAGCTGTCCTCAAACAGTCGAGATAGAGTCAGCACCAGCAGTCATGCCCTGGGCCGGGAGAAGAGAAAGCGTGTGCGTGTGTTTGGGGTTGGGGGCGGGAGTCCCGTCCCACCCAGTTCCTCATCGGGATCCACACCAGCTCCCTCAGGGTCAGAGTCAACCCATCTCCCATCTCAAGTCCCCTCTGGTCCCGGGTTTCACTCACCAAGGGTACTCAGCCCCAGGAACAAAACCCGCAGCAGGTTGATCACAGGGGACCCCAGCAGGGACACCATGGCCTTCCCTGGCCCCGACGGAGACAGGGGTAACGGCTCCGGGTCACACTGACCGACAGGTGCCGAGGTCACTCAACGGCCGGAGCAGGCGCGGGAGCCGGGCCACTGATACCGAGAGCGGCTCTAGCCAGAGTCTGTGCGTGTGTGCGCCGGTAGCAGGGTGGGGACCGAAGGGGACAGGGGGCGGGGCATTCTAGGGGGCGGAGAGGTCGCCATCCTTCCGGGCGGGGCACCCGGGTGGCCCTCCATGAACTGGGACGCGGGAC